GGGATTGAATCCCGTTGGAGTTCTTAATTTTTGTGTGAAGGAATCCAGTTCCCTATGGTCGTGATTCGCTGGGACGAGATATCAGCCCACCAGTCAAATTCAATGTCAAGTAGCATTTTTCTTCTCTCTTTCTACAAAACCAATCAAAGAAAATGAGAATAAAATACTTCCTTGTCTAACCTTTCATTTCCCTTTTTACCCTAACAATACCTGCAAACATTTTCTTTTACGCGCAATATTTTCTTTTTGCTTTTCACATTATCTGCCTTCCAAAAACCTTAGCAATACATTGCCTCGTTTTCCGTTCTTCATCTTCAACCTAAATTATTAAACAAATCTTGAATTTATTTCTTCTTTAACTATTCACAACCAAAGTTTTATTAATCTAAAAAAATCATATCTTTATTTGAGATGTCTGCAACTAATATTTGACTTCTACCTTATATACTTTAGTTTTTGTGATTCATGTTTTAAATTCAACAAAATTCTTCATGTTTCATAGGTTACATAAAAATACACTAAAATCTACACATACATATTTTCACATATAGTTTATATTCTTATGAAATCTGTAACACCCCAAAACAGGCTTAGCCGTATGATATTATGTTACCTACTACAATGTACTTAAAATTATGTTAGAATGATAGAAACAGATATAGCAAACTAATTTAGACTTAAGGTAAAATTCAAAGACCAAAACTTATAAAAAAAGATTGATTAATACCTTAAAATTAGACCTAGTCAGTTGTTAGTTTTTGTGACGTTTCATTTCCATGGAAGATCTTTCTACATTTAAATAGTCAGGACAAATTAAATAATAAATCACAGTTTAAGTTTTAATAAGAATAATTAGCAAGAATATTATTATTATATATTAGCAAGTATATGTGGCGCTAAAAGAAAATGTTGATTCGGTTAAGAAGGCAAGCTTCATATGACACCTTTGTTTCTTATCTTTTTTTTTAATTTAATTTTAATGTTTAAATCAATTAAAGAATACCAACAAATTAACATGCATAGTACGTGGCTTTATATGGAAGAGTCATCCACATGGTATACACATTGCACTCATGCAGAATAAAACAAATTTCCTAACCCATTATATGTTCAGTCTATATATTCCCAATCCTCACAATCAAAAGTACGGGGAAAAGAAATATTTTATGCACAATTTATACAAAAAGAACCCATGTTATTCATCCATGCAAAGAAAGAAACAAGCTTATCCCTGCACCTCTTTTATATACGGTCATAGCCATTCAAGTAGTATCAAAAGAGACCCAACCCCATTAATTGGCTATAGATATAAGAGGAAATATAGAAATGGGTCTTCAATTTGTGCGTAGTTTGGAGGAAGGGAGCTGGTCATTTAGCCTTTATCTGATCTGTCTATTTTAAGGTCAGGTCAGTACTATAATACGACATTTAATTAATTTATTAATCATTAATGTCATTTTTTTGTTATTACGAGAAAAGACGTTAGTACTTTGAAATTTCTCCTTGCTAATGCTATTATCACCACTTTAATTAACATGAAGTATATTTTATCTATTATATGAAGACATGGATGTCCAGATTAAATTTTTGAGTTACTATATCCTATTTGTATACGGAGTATTATTTATTTCTTCTAATGAATATGTGTTTAGTAGTTCTCCGTTTAGAAAAAATATCTATATGTCTATGCTATAAGTACCTACATGTGAATCAAGATAAACTTGATGAAAATAATACAAATGGATAAGTGGGATACTGTTAGTAGAATACTCATCATGCATGCGATTGATAAATATATACTCCTAGTTATATAGTAAATGATTTTAAAAGCATTTAAGTTAATTGAAGAAGCTGATGAATACAAAATCATGTGTACGAATATTTAGTATATATAAATGTATGTGACCGCATGTTTAATTTAGTGATGATGCTTTGTGATTTATCATATTTTTCCAATAATACATGAATTTATGAAATATTTTACGAAAGAGCCTTACTCTTGGATTTAGATGCTAGTTTTGGGTACCTCTGTTCTGTTCTGTTTTGGGTACGAGTTGGTTTTACCGACTACGACTCCTCTGGTGTGCTAGCATACGGCCCAGGCCAGGGTCCTCTGAATCTGAAATCTCTGTTCCGTTATCCGATGATCCTTGTGATCTGAGGATCTCTGTTATCTGATGGGTAAAGTGACTAGAACTTTGTTCGAAATTACTTTATCTGTATCCTTAGCTAGATTCTAGTCCTAAGAGTAAAGGCTGAAAATAAAGTACTAAAGAATTAAGTATTCAGAAAGCTGGATGATGTCTATGAATTTGAATAAGATTTATGTGTGATTATTTTCCTTAAAGGATATATGTTCGGGTTTACTGCTATGTGCATCTAAACTAAATCACCTTAACCTGATTGAAAAAAAAAACAATGGAAAATTTCTGAAATGATCGGTATTAAAGAAGCGTTGAGTGAGATTATATGAAATCTTTATACGTATTTTTGAATATGAAGTTTTGACAATTTTCTCATGATTCATTTCTAATTAAGTGATAAATTTATAATTATATTATGTGAAATAATAGTGTTAGCTAAATTTGACTTCTATTATGATAATGTGTGATATGCATGTTTCCCTCACCCGTTTTAATTGTGTAAATGGACTATAATGATATATATTAATGCTTCTTTGACATATATTTGAGTACCAAATAAAGATACATGATTATTACATGTTATATTATAGTACCACTCAGCAATTCATTGTTGAGCGTGTAGTTTTTTTTCTACACGTAGGTGAATAAGAGATTCAAGTTGGAGCTTGGGACGATGAGACATTGATCTGGAGAGAATGACAATGCATTTGTTTTTATTTCCATGTTTTAAGTTGGTACAACCAACACGTCTTAAAAATAAGGATATTATTCCAGTAAAGATAAATGTATTATTTCACAAGTGATTTTTCATTAAAATGATAAACGACAGTGACATCTGTCCCGAACCGGCCAGACCGGTCGGGGTGGGTGTTACAAAATCATTTACACCAAACATATAATTTTTGCAGGGACTATATTATCGAGTGATTAATATATATGTGCGCAAAAGATATCACATACACTTACATACTTTACACAAGTTGCTTACCTTTGATTAATTTTATTTTGTATATTCATTTCCATAAAAGTTATAGATTTTGTCATAACATATACTACGTATGTAGTATTACACTTACACAAAAGTGTATCAAACTTACATATTTAACACACGTGACGTACATTTTTATAAAGTCATTTACACCAAACGTTAATTTTTTATATCAACAAATTAAATAATATATTCATTATAATTAAGTTAATCATTTTTTAGTACATTAATAATATTCATATACGATGTAATATCTCACAGGCGTACCAAACATACACTACTTGCATTAATACGTCTCGTACACATTGTTCATACATATTCACGTCATCTATAACAACACTTTGACTTTTCACATTTGCCAACGCACAATTTTGACTGTAATTATATTCAATTATGTATTAGTAAACATTATAAAAAGTTGATATTTTGGAAATTCACATGGATATGAATTCAATAACATTTTATACGTAATAATTTGATTATGTATATAAGTAGAAAATAGTGGTCAAAATAAGGTCTGCGGATAGTACAAAAATCACAACGTTGCAAGAATTAAAAAACAGAGGAAGTATTAGTTTATAATATGCAATACCATTACTATTAAAAATATTTAATATTACGATAGTAATCATTTAGGATGGTGATTTTCACCATCTTAATACATAACAATGAGATCATGTTAACACATGGATGGAGCCAAAAGTTGAAAAGCAAAATAAGTGCATAAAAATGAAAAAGACTAAAAGTTATATTTGTGCCAAAGTGTTACGTGTAAAATGTATATGAATGTGACTTGTGGGGATAAAGTGAGACAAATATAAATGGGGTGTGTCAAGTGTGTTGATGGAACAAATACAAAACAAAATTAACTGTATCTAAGTTATTATGAGGAGAGAACATGAAAATGGATATATCAAATTGTTCTGCTTTTAGATATAGATTAATACAGAACACTCCATTCATTTTGAAATATAATTATCTTTTACTCTATTATTTCAAAAGGGGGTCTATTTTGAACAAATGTTAGTTGTTCATTTAACTCATCATAAGATCACTTTTTAAAAAATTTAATTATAAGATAACCGAAAAACATCACCAACAAGTTGACAAAAAAATCAACTTTAAAAACCATTTGATAACACTGAAATTGATTGAATCAGTTGAATGTATTGAAATTAATGAAATTTTAACTGATACAGATGAATTATAAAAAAGATATTTTTTAAAATGTATTCTATTAATAAAATAAAGATATAATTAGATGAAATATAACTAAAATAACGATTTCAGCAATTTTAGCAAATTGAACTAGAAAAATAACTACATAAAATTTACACAATTCAACATACAAAATGAGAAATCATGTCTTAGATAAAAAATTGTATTGATAACCTAGAATCATGATCTACCAAGTGTGGACATTTAAAAATGTAACCACGACCATGATGGTTATTAAAAATGGCACTTTATTGAAGATCGATAGTATTTTTTTCTGGTGAACTTTTTTAATAGAGATTGTTTCTACATACATACATAATCTCTTATACTAGTATATGGTGCATGGGAGCATTAACTTTTCTAAAATTCCCGAAATAAGAGTAAAAACGTGTAAAAATTGTAAAGCAGGATTGTCTTGTACTCATTCACTAATTAGGACTAATTAGTGCCAAATAAAATAGTCTTATTTCGGCCGATTTTTCCACTTTTTTTTCTGGTGAAAAAAGATAGAAATTTATTAAACATGAAAAAAATGATTTCTTAGGAATTATGTAGCCTAGGAATCCGATTATTTGAAATCCTGTTTGCAATCCTTTTTACCTGAGGAAGACCACTCTCAAATCTCAATCAGGTTAAATAGTGCAAATGTGATTTTTGAGTACAAAACGATGATTGAGAGTCAAAATCGCAGTATAAAATGCAAGTATCATTTTCGTGGGTATAAGCCGCCACCCTTGCCGAGAAAACAAACAAACCGGACCACCTGGCCTGGTTATATTCTTCCCCTACCTAACCGCAAACGTGCACGTCTTTTCGTTCTGCTCATCGTATAATCGCAATCCGGTGCTCTTCTTCAACTCCAACTCTTGTGAAACTCTCAATTTCAGTAGAAATTTGCAGTCTTTTGGACACCAATTTCTCGTTTTTATTCTAATTTTGCAGTATATAAGTGGGGTTGTTTAGCTTTGGTTACTGGATTGTGTCGCAGCGATGTCGAAGAGCATTCTGGTGACTGGCGGAGCTGGGTATATCGGGAGTCACACGGTTTTGCAATTGCTTCTGGGCGGATACAAGGCTGTTGTGGTTGATAATTTGGACAATTCTTCGCCTCTTGCTATCAAGAGAGTGCAAGAGCTTGCTGGCGATTATGGCCGTAACCTCGTCTTTCATCAGGTATCTTTTCGGTTCCTCCTTACAATTTTGTTGATTTAATTTGCGGATTGTGATGTTGATTTGGTAATGATTTCATGCGTTATTTTCTTTGACTTTTGGGACATTTCTAAATATAATATGGTGTCTCTTTCATGCTCATTTGGGGTTTCTGTTTTAGTCTTGGTGATTTTTTTTTGCTCACTTTACATATGACCATGTGTATTATTAAAAAAGAAACTTTTTCGTGAGTATTGACTACACACCCATAGCTTGACATTGAATATTTATAGAATACAAGAAATAATTATTTTACACATTGAGTAGTAGAGGCTAGGTAATTGAAAATCATGAGATTCAGGTACCACACACAGAATCTCATCGACTATGATTATCAGAAATTGGACCTCGAGCTTATTGCTATTCTCTTGAGCCGGGAAGAATCACAACCTGATTATGAAATTTTCTGGGTTGAGGGTTCCTTCATGACTAGAAAATGTTTGTTTGCAGTTTATCTATACATTTATGTGCATATTGGTGAATTAATAGTTATTACATAATACTGTGCTGAGGGATTTTGATATCTTCAGCTTTGCTGGATTTCATTTATGTAGAAATGATTGTAATGCCTGTAATTTTGTATTGAGCTGCAGATGGACATTCGTGATAAATCTGCGCTGGAAAATGTTTTTTCTTCAACCAAGTAAGTTGGTAATATATGGTTTTAGGCTTAAGCATTTCGCAATTAGAATACATGTTATTGTTAAAGGAATACAATTCATTTAAAGGTTTTTTTTCATGCATTGCTACAGTTCTGCATATGTTGGTCTTGACCATGTAAAAAGATGATCTTTATATTTGGATGTAGTTGCGTTATGTGTTGCTATCTTGTTTAAACTGTCAATTCGATACTTGCAGGTTTGATGCAGTTATCCATTTTGCTGGATTAAAAGCTGTTGGGGAAAGTGTGCAGAAACCTTTGTTGTATTATAACAACAATCTTATCGGTACAATTGCTCTCTTGGAAGTCATGGCAAACCATGGATGCAAAAAGGTATCTCTCTATCTCACACTATGTGGCCTGGTAATATTTTAGTTGATTTATAGGTAGCCCTGACTAGCTTTTTCATCATTCCAGCTTGTATTTTCCTCATCAGCCACTGTTTATGGTTGGCCAAAAGTGGTCCCTTGCACAGAGGAGTTCCCCATTAATGCTGCAAATCCATATGGCCGAACAAAGGTACCCCTTGAATTGTCTTACATGGTTGATTTTTTCTTTTAAGATGATGAGTCTCTTTTTTTTCCGGGAAATTTCCCAAAACAGGAGTAAAACATAGATGTTTTTCATCAGCAGGAGTACTGTGTTTTAGGAGTAAAGTACTAGGACCCTGAAATATACTGCTATATTATGACATTTTAAGGCATTTAAAAGATGGCAGTATGATTTTAGTATGATAGTATATTTTCAAGATGTGAGTACTTCTATTTTGGGTAAAACATAGTACTCCTATTTTGGGAAAATACCTATATTTTACTCCTATTTAGGTCATTTTTTTTTAAGTTTTCAACATTTCAAACCAATTTTTTTTTGAGCATGTGGCATTTTCAATAATGAGCACACAAGGTGATGTGGAAAACATGTGGAGCATATTTGTTAAACAAACAATTAAATTGAATTTCCTCATATTGAGTTAGAAAATGTGTGGAGCCTATATATTTCTTCCCCATGGGACAACATGCTCTATGATGAGCATGCATGTGTATTTTAGATTTTTGTTCAAAATGTGCACACTAAGTGAGGAGGAGCTTTGGCACACCGGCTTAGGTGTTGCTGTGTGACTGAGATGTCACAAGTTCAAGTCTTGGGAGTTGTCTCTTATCAAAATGACTAGGGTAGGCTTGCACCCTATACACCCTCTGGTGGGAACCTTAGGACCCTTGCCTTGTGGGGTTGACAATATGCACCAGGATCCCCTTTTTATGTCCACTGTAAGTCCTGATATCAATTAACAAAAGACTCGATCTCTCAGCTTTTCATTGAAGAAATATGTCGTGATGTACACCAATCAGACTCAGAGTGGAAAATCATATTGCTCCGATACTTCAACCCTGTTGGCGCCCATTCCAGTGGCTATATTGGGGAAGATCCACGGGGAATCCCCAACAATCTTATGCCATTTATTCAACAAGTTGCTGTTGGAAGGCGGCCAGCGTTGACAGTTTATGGAAGCGATTACTCAACTAAGGACGGTACAGGGGTATGGTCTATGTATTCTAATTTTCATTATAAACATGCATTCCTATTTATGAGTTCCCAAGATCTGTTCAATTTTAATGCTCTTTGCTCATGGCTACTATTTGATGCACTCTCCAGGTACGTGATTACATTCATATTGTTGATTTGGCTGACGGTCACGTTGCTGCATTGAATAAACTGGCAGATGCTTCAATAGGTACACGCTGGGAGAGAATGTAAAAAGAAGCTTACTAGTGCATCTGCATCCTTGTTTATTTTGGTCCTATTTTTTCTAATATTTTCAGTAGTGATTCTTAATTCCTATGATAATCTAATTTCTAAGTTGGGATACAGATGTTAGGATTGATACGTGTGAAGGATGGATCTGTTTTTGTTTGTCTCCCTATTCATTTTTTATCATTTCTCCGATTTCACATATCGATTCATGTTAGCTGACCCCGGACTCTTTTGGGACTAAGGCTTGGTTATTGTTTTTGTTCTTGTGGATACGGATATGTGTTAGTTGATCTAGTAGTAGAGTGGCTCATGAATATTTTCTCAAGGTCAAAGTGATAATTGATTTTATATTGCTCTTTGATGCAATGTGTAATCAGAATGTATTAAGCCTATTCTACGCAACATCAATAGTTTGGCTCACAGTTTCCTCCAGCTCATGCACCAATCAGGCATTTTTGGTAGAATATGATCATCAGAGTGTGCCGCAAGGGAGAGAGTGTCGCAAGGGAGAGGTCCCGGGTTCAACTCCAAGCAAGGACTTGGGATGGAACCCCACTCTCTTTCCATCAAAGTATGATCAAAGCTCAACTTACATCCTCCCAGATAATTTCCCAGATAATTGTCCGGTCGGTTCTGGGGGGCTTCAAGGATAGAGTGTCATATTTTTTTGGGTAGAATGTGATCATTGCGGTCCAGCAAAATGAGAGAAGCACTGTTCATTGCACCAAATTGTCAGAGGGCAGAAGTGTTGATAAAAGTTGATATTTGTAATGTAAAGTCTATTGTACTTTTGTTGATCATACAAACGGTGTAAGGCTTGGAGTGAAAATGTGGGCAATATCTTGAAGTCATGCTTTCATTGTTCACATACATTTTTCTACTATGCCCTATCTGGTAGTTTTTTGTAAACCATCTTCTGTTTTCTCTTCATCAGGATGTGAAGTATACAACTTGGGAACTGGGAGGGGTACATCAGTATTGGAAATGGTAGCTGCATTTGAGAAGGCATCTGGGAAGGTATTTGCCTTCATTAATCCATTCAAGTCATACACTAATTGTTATTGTGCTTTCTAGGTTATAGATCCCTTATGTGAGTGATTAATATGCGTGGGACTCAAAATTGCAATGGAGCCACACCATTAGACGTTATTCATTGCATTTTTTCCCGGTTGTTCCCAAAATAGGTCAAATTGATTAATGGGTTCAACCTGCTTTGATGAACGAAAAACATTGAAAGGAAATCAACAAATTGGTTTACCTTTGTCAGAACGGTCAGATTACTATCCTATAGCACTGCCAAGCCAGAGTTTTGCAATAATTTGCGAGATACATAATACTCCGTGCTTACTTTTTTTGGATGTCCCGTATTAAGGTTCACTTTCCATTTCGGAAAATTTTAAGTATGAAAATATAATAACCTTACCATTACCTTTTAAAAAAAAACACACAATAACATCATTCTACATCAGTTATCAACCAATTATATTTCCATGGTCCCACCAACCCAACTAATTACTTTAATTATTTACCTTATTTTGTGTTCAAACTACTCGGTGTAATTACTTGTCTAAAAAGTCGTTCACTTTTCCATGGGAACCTCGATACTGGATTGGGCGAGTACAATATAGAAAATGTTATCTATAGTAGGGGCGCAACCCTACTCCAATTTCTGTGGGCCGAGCAAAAAAACTCTCGAATTTTTTTGGCCTGAAAGTTCAGTATGGCTTGGTGTATACTGTATAGTATCCACAACCTGATGGATTTGACTTCCCATGTTGAGCTAAAGTTGTTATCAATTTGACTTCAACAGCCAGAAAGATATCTTGTACTAATTCATGTTAGGGATTGGTATCAAAACTCAATAGAATACCAATATACATAGTAATAATTCTCTGGGTATGTGAAGACTTAAGTTGTCATCTTTTGTACTTATAGAAAATTCCATTGGTGATGGCTGGGCGACGGGCAGGTGATGCTGAAGTTGTTTACGCATCAACTGAGAAAGCAGAACGGGAGCTAAACTGGAAGTAAGTTAATTATTCAATGAATGAAAGAAATAATGTGGCAGTATCATTCTCACCCACCCCCATTCCGCCCCTTTGGCTGCTCCCGGCTTATGAATTACTTGCTAATTTGCAGGGCAAAGTATACAATTGAAGAGATGTGCCAAGATCAGTGGAATTGGGCCAGCAAAAACCCCTATGGTTATGAAGGGTCTGCTGAAAATTCTACATGATTTCAGATTTTCAGTTAAACCTGTGCCAAATAATGCCTAGTATTCTAGTATGATAAATTGTTTAATAAAATGGTCGATCCCAATGTAAATAAATGGGCATATTGCATCCATCGATCAGTACAAATATGAAAAATATGAACTTGTTTGGTATTCCTTTTGTAGTTGGAGACTTGGAGTTTCAAATTGTTGTGTATTACCTCCATTTATTTTGAAGAGCCATTTTCACTGTGAGTTATCTATCATTCTCATCTTACAATTTTCAGATAAATTTGGATCAACTAATTTTCTCATATTTTATTCTATAATTCTTATAAAAAGTTAGTATAATTTTGTTGAAAATATACCCATGGTCACTTCGTTGCATATCGAATATCTTTTATTTCAATGTGAAGTCGTGTTAGATGATTATAGATGAAATGAAAAAATCATGCAAAGATGCACACGATCTATGGGGTGTTTGGATTTGATTATTAAAACTGCTTTTGGTGCTCTATTTTATTTTTGGAAATAGTTTTATTAGAAGCTAGGGGAGATCAGCTTCTGAAAATTTATTCTGCTTCTGTTTTAAAAAAGAAGTAGAAGCAGAATCGGTTCCAAAACTCCCTATATTTAGTTAAATCAATAAATGCATTTAAGCAATTTAAGGGGGTGTTTGGCAATTGACCGTTGGCTGTTGGTTGATTCTGTTGTCGGATTCATGACAGCGGATCTTGTTGGCTGTTTTGATTAGCTGATAGTATTAGCAGTTTGTAAAATGATGTTTGGTTAAGTGGTTGTTCACAATCAACTGATTACTTATTAAAATGACTTTTAAGGACATCAATTATTTTTTTTCAACTACTTTTATAAACATATATCGTAAAAGAAGACCACCAAAATTGAGAAACGTTGGGTAAAATCTACTTTTAACACTACTTTTATACTGGTACCGTACAAGTTGGAGGTTTTTTAAAGCTTGATTTTGTTTATTTCAAAATTAGTTATTTATCTTATATGTTCTATCTATGAACCACTTTATTTGATGTTTTAGGTGAAGAAAGCCCACTAACGATTATTACTACGTACTAGTGATGCGACGCGCTATGCGCGACTGGAAAATGCCCAATGTCTTTTGTGTAGGGCTAATAAAATTAAATGTTATCGGCATTGCACACAAGATTCATAATATAATATTTTTATTTTCCAGTTTGCTTTTTATTTTGGACTTATTGTTGTTTCGGTGTGTTTTGATTATGTGGTGGGTAGGCATTTTTTGCTAAGAGGTAAGATGGCTTTAAAAGCCGAGTTAATCTTCAAATCTCTCAGATGGTTAGCGACTCGATCCGCTCTAGTTAGAGTGGCCGTTTCTATGTCTAATTAGAGAGTGAGGAGACCTTCGGATTTTGGTGGGTTTGGTAGCAGGAGGTTGTTCAGAGTTGAAATTTTGTAATGTCGTTAGTTCTGGAATTATAATATAATCGTCAATTTCCTTAAAAAATGACGAAAAAGTAAAGATTTGATATGTTGCTACAACCAAAGCCAAAAACCAGCTGCATATTTTAAAACAGCAAGCGATAACAATTTGTAGGGAGTACAAACCCCGGCCAATTGTAAACTCAGAGGACTACAAACTTAAGCTTGGACGGAGGTAGTACAAAGTTTGTAAACCCGGCCAATTGTCATGAATAGTTGCTGAGATAATTAGAAGAGTTTGAGAGATGACAAAAAAGAAAAATAAAATTGATCGGCTACTATAAGATTGAAATTGATTAGATAAACAATGCTTAAAATTTAAGGGCTTCGATAGTATTAGAACCCGTTTGGGAGCACGAAAATCGGTTGATTTGGCTGATTCTGCTGAAATTTATGAAGTTCTGGTGAAGTGGCTGCATTGGCTGATTTTGCTGATTTAAGAAAAATATATTTTTAAAATATATTTTATTAATAAAATAAAGAAAAAATTGTATGTAAAAATAGCTAAAATGGTTATCTACAGTTACTTCAGCCAATACCCCAGAAAAGTAACTTCAACCTTAATTTTTATGCTTATTACACAATTCAGTGCGCAAAAGCAAAAATTACGTGTTTGGTGAAAAAGTTGGCTGATAAACCTAATAAACCGGAAAACAGTGTTGCCAAACTTCCTCTTATTTGGAATTCTATCGCGAGAATCCGTATTGGAGAATGGCAGATAAGAGCGCCCCAAATGGTTTTCATTTCCATCATTAAAAGAAAGCAAAGCAATAAGCAACACAAGGGGGACATAGAGGGAATAAAGTACGGGTGCGAAACTCTTACACAAATGTTCTCCCCAAGGCCTTCATCTACGCTCATCGACCTCCTCCCATGTAACCCTAAAGCTTCATAGTTCATATGTTTCTGTTGAAGGCTATGGATGTGAAGGTTAAGCGGACAAGTTTAGTGTATGAGGTTTAAGTGGATGGGGTTAGTGGACGAAGTTATGCTAACGAAAGAGAAACGGCTGGAATGCTGGATGTAAACATGAAAAAGAGAGTACAACACTTTAATCATATGGAACATCTTCATATAGCTTTGATGGTACACCAACAAATTTTTTGTACCCAAATTGACCTTACCCTCATTCATGCTTATAATTTTTTTAAAGATTTTTGTTGGGAAAGTCAAAGTAGCCGACCAAAATACAACGGAGGGAGGTTGGGTAAAATAGGAACACCGTGTATATTCTGGAACAGTCAAGAGCAAAATGCCACTTTTATTAGCATTTTTAATTTTGGCTGTTTGAGACAAAAAGTTAAGTGAAAAAGCCAATTAACCAAACACCTTAATTAACTGTTTATTTGGTCAAAAAGCTAAAAAGTGGTCAAATCAGCCAAAAAATGGCTGATAGGCCATCAACCAAACACCCCCTAAGTATAATTAGAGGCGGACAATCGAACAGATTAGGATGTTCTAAAATGGAAAGGTCTTTTATTTTGTTCTGAATGGATCTCAAACCGATCTTACACTGGGCGGAAATCGTCTCCACTTGCCACATTGCACTTACCACATTACAAAATTTACAATGATTCAAGATCATACTAACTCCATGCATAAGCTCAATGATTATATTTTGATTCTGCTACACAAACAAATCGCAGAAGTTGCTAATCATATAAGAGATTGACAAATTGAAGTTTAACATCCATGTAAGTCTTCATTTTACCAAAAGAAAAATGAATAAATAAAAAGTGAGGCAAAGTATTGACATGGGCGAAATTACAAAAAAGATGACATAATGAAATAATAAACAAGTCATCGGTTTGCAATTATGTCGCGTACTAGCTTGATTCCATTGTATCTGTAGAATTGTCTTGATTTTCTGAAAGTCAATGATATTTCAGTCATGTACCGAATAAGTTGATAAAAATCTTGTACTACTCCTTTCTTGTGTGGTAGTGGTTCCGGAGGAGGGTTGTCAACAGTATCGTCATAGATGAGTTGAGAAGCATGATGATATTTGAAAACAAATATCTCTTTTTTGTTTAGATCATTTCAAAAATTGAGAAAAAAATGAACAATTGAACATAACGATCTGTAAGTACTAGCATTATTAATTGGGAAAAGTATAGAAAACGTACTTGTGGTTTGGACCATTTTCAGATAGAGGCATGTGTTTCATTTTCTAACAAAGTGGGGCATGTGTTTCAATTCCGTTATCATAGCAGGGGCATGGCGTCTAACAAAAAGTTAACTCCGATTTTAAAAAGTCTCCGAAAAATTAAGAGAAAAATATTGAGGGTGCGCCTCATCAAGGAGATCAACAAACTATCTTTATTTTTTTTTGTTTCCAACCACCACATTTCCAGAAAGTCCATCAGAAAATTGATATTAACGACTTTGTTTTTGAAAAATAATCCAAATAGAGCTGAAGAATCCAAAGAGAAAGTTAGTTTATTGATCTCCTTGACGAGGCGCACCTCCCAATATTTTTCTTTTAATTTTTTGGAGACTTTTTAAAATCAGAGTTAATTTTTCTAACGGTGTTAGACGCCATGCCCCTGCTATGATAACGGAATTGAAACACATGTCCCGCTTTGTTAAATAATGAAACACATGCCCCTATCTGAAAATGGCCCAAACCACAAGTACGTTTTCTGTACTTTTCCCTTATTAATTAGAGTGGAAACCACCCATAAGGCCATAAAACCACTGTCAAAATTGACAAAAAAAAGAACCCTAAAAATCATAGGGAAGAAAACTTAATATGTGTTGAAGCTTAGACGATTAAGAGCATTCGCCATAAAAATAAAGTTACGTGTTTGCATTTATTTATAATCAAACGCTGCAAAGGAAACCCTAAAAGGGTGAGCAACCGATTAGGTGATAATAAATGTGAATACTTTTATACTTGTACTATCATACTCCGTATGTTTTATGGAGTAATATTAGAGCTGCCTGCTTATAATTTTCCTTCATATATTCTATTTATTATTAGTAGTTGAAAATATAAGTTAGACGAAACCAATAATACAAATCGGTCCCGAAACGACCGGTCGCGGTTTGTAATCTCGGAAGCCCAGGTCTGACTCGGGTATATTAGTCCTAGTCCAGTAAAACTATACACATTAAAAATGAAATGTAAATTTATTTGAAACGTTAAATTGTAATGCAACAAATATTAAAATGTGACTACTAGTATAATAATAATGTGGCTAATATGACTAATATCACAATGTAACAAATATGAAGATATGAGTAACATTAAAATATAACAAGTATTAAGGTGTGAGTGTGTGACTAATATGCAAATGTGGCTAATATTATATTAGGGGTGGGCATGGGTCGGGACGGTTCGGGATTAGGGTTATCCCGGTCTCGTCCCAATTAATAATAACGGGGCGGTACGGGACAAGCCTTTGTCCTAGTATTGTCCCATTTAAATCGGGACGGGGATGATTCGGAACGGTTCGGGACGGTTCGAGACGTCCCAAACTAACAAAAAATAATCATTTGTAATTAATACTTCCAAATGTAACAAATATTAAGATGTGAGTAATATTAATATGTAACAAATGTTAAGATGTGAATCATGCGAAATGTGCTACAATATATTAAAATGTAAGCCGAGGGATTTTATACGGAGTTGCCTCTATGAAGGGAACTGATATGTTGGGGGTTCATGGGATTTGTTGGATTTGTTTACCTAATAACTATCCTAAAAATTTGAACTATTTATCAAAATACTAAGAAGCATTTTAAGCATTCGGTACATTGCTTTAAACTTTTG